TACTAATCCATCAAAAGTTGTATCTCAGGAAAATTTATTTTCAGTAAAATGCAGAATGAATTGAAGGGTATGATGGTTGAGGGAGAAGAGAGAAGTTAAATCTGGGATGAGTTACAAGTGGGTACTAGAATGGTAGCAGTGGAGGTGTTGAGAGGATAGAACAAATCTGAGAAATCTTTCAAAGAAATAACTGGTATGCCTTGATGACTGATGGGCAATGAGGAAAGAAAAAAAATCAAGTATGACAGCCACCTCCAAACAGCCAGAAAGGATCCTTGCATCTGAACACGCAAACTCATAAAATCTTCTATACTGTACTGGGGTTTCCCTCATGACCAATAAAATAAGCAGTAGTGATGGACATAAGGTATCGTGGCTTCTGTCTTGGTGGCTCTTTCTCTGGGCTCTCTCTCTCCAGGGGAAGCCAGTTGCTACACTGTGAGAGCCCCACGGAGAGATCCATGTGAAAGCACCTGCAACCCACCAACAACCACATGAGTTTGGAAGCTGAGCATGCAGATGACTGCAATCCCAGCCAACGCTTTGCAGCCTCATGAGCTACCTTGAGCCAGAACCACCCAGCTAAGTCTCTCCGATTCCTGACCCTTGCAATCTCTGAGAGACAATAAATGTTGGTTTCTTTAAGCTGCTAAATTGTACGGGTAATTTGTAACAGAGACAGATAATTGAACAATAATAAAAAAGACAAAATCAAACACGAATAGAAAGATAACCCAATTTAAAAATGGGCAAGAAAATTAAAAGAAGATAATAAGCATATGAAAAAGTGCTCAACATCATTAGACATAAGGAAAATTAAAATCAAAACCACAAGGAGATAACACTACATACACGCCAGCATGACTAAAATGAAAAAGACTGGCAACACAAAATGTGGCTGAGGATATGAAGCAACCAGAATTCTTTATTTAAAAATTAAGATATAATTTATATGCCACAGAATTCACCCATATAAAGTATATGATTCAGTCAACCATCACCACTATCCATTTTACAATATTTTCATTTTAGTGTAGCCCAATCATCACCACTATTTATTTTAGAATATTTTCATTACTCCACCAGAAAACCCTGTACCACTTAGCTGTCACTCTCCAATTCTCCTACCTCCTTTCAAACCTTAGGCAACCTCTAGTCTACTTTCTATCTGTACACATTTGCTTATTTTAGACACTCATGCAAATGGTATTATATAATATGTGGTCTATTGTGACTGGCTTCTTTCATTTAGCACAGTGTTTTCCATGTTTGCTCATGTTGTATCATGATGTATCAGTACTTCATTTCTGTTTCCTGCCAAATAATACTTCATTGTATAGATATGTAACTTTTGTTTTTACCTACTTATCAGTTGATGGACATTTGGGTTATTTCTACTTTTTGGCAATTATGAATAATGCTGCCATAAACATTATGTACAAGTTTTTGTGAGGACTATGTTTTCATGTATTTTGGATATTATACCTAGGTATGGAATTGTTGGGTCATATGGTCACTCTGTTTAACCATTTGTGGAACTGTCAGACATTTTTCCAAGGTAGCTGCACCATCATATATTCCCATCAGTGGTGTCTGAGGATTCCAAATTCTCCTCACTAACACTTGTTTTTTTAAAAAAAATTATAGTAGGTGTGAAGTCATTGTGGTTTTGGTGTGCATTTCCCTGCTGGCTAGTAATGTTGAGCATCTTTTCATATGATGATGGATCATTCATATGTCTTTTTTGGAGAGCTGTATAGTATATTCAAATTTGTTATCCATTTAAAAATTGTGTTATTTAAATGGTGATAGTTCTTTATATATTCTAGCTTTTTATCAAATGTGTCATTTGTAAACATTTTTCCCAATTCTGTGGATTGTCTGCCACCAGAATTCTTGTCCAAAATGATACAAACACTTGAAAAGAGTCTGGTTGTTTCATATAAAACCAAACATTGACTTACTCTATAAACAAGACATTCTATGTATAGATATTTACTCAAGAGAAAAGGAAAAATATGTCTGCAAAAGATTTACACAAGAATGTTTACAGCAGCTTTATCCATAGTAGCCCCAACTGGCAATAGTCCAGGAATCTTTCAAGAGGAGCATGGATCAATAAACTGTGGTGTATTCATATAATAAAGTATTAATAATAAAACAGAGCAAACTACTGATACACACGATATGGACATTTTGCTAAGTGAAAAACACCATACCCAAAAAGTGCACACTGTATGATTCCATTTTATATGAATTTTTAGAAAATGCAAAAGTAATCGAGAAAAAAGACTGGGTGCAGTGTCTAACACCTGTAATCTCAGTGCTTTGGGAGGTCAAGGTGGGCAGATCTCTCGAGCCCAGGAGTTGGGAGGCCAGCCTGGGTAACATGGCAAGACCCTATCTCTCCGAAAAAAATACAAAAATTAGCTGGGTGTGGTGGCATGTGCCTGAAGTCCCATCTGGTCATGAGGCTGAGGGGGGAGGATTGCTTGAGCCCAGGGAGTTTGAAGCTGCAGTCAGCTGTGATTGTGGCACTGTACTCTAGCCTGGGTGATAGAGTGAGACCCAGCCTCAAAACAAACAACAATGGTTTTCAAAATAGAACAGTGGTTGCCTCTGGGGTGGGGAAAGCAGTGATAGGCAGAGAATGACTGGAAAATCGTGAGAGGAAGCTTTCTGGGGTGATGACAATCGTTTACATCTCAGGAGTTTTGGTTGCACAAGTGTATACATTTGTCAAACTCTGAATGCACACTTAAGATTTGAGCATTTCACAGAATATAAATTTTGTCTCAAAAGGAAAAATATGTAAACAAATATTTAACTCTAGATAATAAGACACATGCCATATTTTGGGAGAAGGAAAACAATGCCTGTAATTAACTTTGAAATGCATAAAAAAATAAGATATTTGGGATAAGGATTAAAGCAAGATAAAATGTAAATCTAGGTGGAATCTGTGTGGTGAGCACATAGGTGTTTACTTTAAATTTTTATAACTTTGCTATATGTTTGAAAAATCTTCAAAATAGAATGTTAAGATAATTTTTTTTTAAAGGACTATGGTTTCTGGAGCTGGAAGCCAGAAGATCGATAGCATCATTGGAAGAAATAGACAATTTAGGAATAGGAAGGACAGTTTGGTGGAAGGTGTGGCACAACTGACAGATCTTGAATACCTAAAAGGTCCTAAGTAATTTATGCCCATATTTCCATCTGGGTTTTTTAATTTTATTTTATTTTTTAGTTGGAGTCTTGCTCTGTTGCCAAGCTGGAGTTCAGTGGTGATGTGATCTCGGCTCACTGCAGCCTCCACCTCCCTGGTTCAAGCTATTCTCCTGCCTCAGCCTCCTGACTAGCTGGAATTACAGGCACATGCCACCACGCCCAGCTAATTTTTGTGCTTTTAGTAGAGATGGGGTTTCACTATGTTGGCCAGGATGGTCTCGATCTCTTGACCTCATGATCTGCCCACCTCGGTCTCCTCAAGTGCTGGGATTACAGGCGTGAGCCACCATGCCCAGACTTTCCATCTGTATTTTAATGGATCTTCACAAACACCTCTAGTCTTTAGTCATCAGCACACCCATTTTTAGATGAGAAAATGGAGATTCTGAGAAGCTATGTAATTTGCTCAAGGTCATTAAACTATTAGTGTGCTAGGGGTAGGACTGATTTTCATAATTTGCAGGCCTACTGTAAAATGAAAATTTGTGGTTCCTTACTCAAAAATTATTAATAGGACAGCATTAAAACAAGCACAGTGCCCTTCTAACGATGGGGCCTTGTGAGACTCAGGTTTCACACATGTGACGCTATGGTGACAAGGAAGATTTGAATCTCGGTCTGTCTGACAGATAAGTCCATGCTTTTTCCAGTAAACCGTGCTAGGTCAGATGACTAGTTCCTTGCTCTGCGCAGTGAATGAAACAAGATGATGATGTCAGATGGCGATGTCCTGTAGGCCATTAAAAACCAAATTGCAGGTAAGGAGTTCCTTCGGTGATGTTTGTTGTCTGTCCTCTTCTCAGTGGGCATTTGGTTATTACATTTGACCTAGGTTAGCAGAGTAATTTTTGATCAAAGTCTCAACAGCGTATCTCTTTAAATATCATAGTACCAAGAAAACGTCTTTCATGTGTCCTCTCTGAAATTTGTCACTGGATTTCTTCTTTCTGATAAATGTGTCAATACTTTAGTGGCGATGAAATGTTTTCTGCTGGACATCTGGGTGGGTCTGGAAGCAGAGGAACGCTTTCCTCAATTTAACAGGGGATCCTAGTGGTTGAGTTATATGTTGGTTTCATTTAAGAGTAAGCTACTTTCTGAATGTAATTATACTTTCACTGAATCAAACAGTAACTTTTACTTTAGTTGGGAAGACATATCTATTATCTCTTAATTAGACAACTCTTGTCTGTCTTTGAGGAAGAGTGGGGGACTTATAACTTTTCCCAAGAAAACTGAAAATGTTTCAACCCTAATGTTAAAGGAGTTCTGCTATATTGGGTTAGGAATAAATAAGCTACACCGATGTCCTTTATCAAGCGTAATTCCTCTACTTGATTCTCAAAGAATACTAAGTTTACATTTTATAGTTAAAAATTACTAAAATTCCAGAAAAGTCTTTCACATCAGTCCCTGCTGGTCAAACTGGCAGGTCAAGCCTAGACAACAGATTGGGCTTTGGGCTAAGGCAGCCTCTGGAGGGCAATCTCCTCCCCTGCGAATCCGCCCTGGTCCGCTCTCTTCTCCGTCTCCCCGCCCCGCCTCAGCTCGCTCTCCGCCTTCTCCCGGGCCCAGTCTCGGCTCTCAGGCCACGCCCCGGTCCCAATCTCCCTTCCCGCCCTCAACTATTTCCTCCCGGCGTCGTTCTTGCCCCGCCCCTCAGCGTCGCGTAGCGGAAAAGGCCGCTGCAGGCCGCTCTGGCCTCCTGGAGGACTTGCCACCTGTGCGCGGCGGCGCAGGCCGGCGGTGGGCGGGGCTCACGTGAGGCGGTGGAAGTGTTCTGGTGATTCTCGCTTTGCTGCTTTAGCTCCGGAGTATTTGGCGATGGGGCAGCTGGAGGTGTGGAGGTTCATGTCAAGGTGAGTGAGCGAGCGTGCTGCCAAGGGCAGGCTCTTCAGCGGCTTTCGCCCAAGAGGGAAAAGGGCCGGGGGTGGAGACTGCTGGCTTCGAAGTTTCGAGTCGCGCTCGGAGGCGCAGCTGTGAGACCCTAGCCTTGGCCAGCCCCAAGCCCCAGCCCGCCTCCCTGTCTCTTCTTTCTCCCTCTAGCATCTTCTTTGCAGCAACATCCTCGTTTTCTGCCTCTGGCTCTCAATTCAGCCTTGTCCCCACACGAATGTCATTCTTTTGGCTTCAATTTCTTTCCTTTCTTCAAAGTTGGGTGCACTTTGGGGACACGGAGGGATTCAGCTTAGAGGAATTGTGCTGCATGTTTTGTGGAACCAATACACACAGGTGCTTTGCCACTTGCTGCAAGTGATTTTATTGAACTTTCAATAAAGCTCAATGCAGTGTGATTTTATTCAGCTTTCTTGCATGATTTTATTCAGCTTTATTGGTGTGATTTTATTCAGCTTTCTTGCATGGCTCCAGCGTCAATACAGGCGTCTGGAACTTTCAGGCTAGTGTTGCCGATATTTAACGTGGCATGGGGGAACATGTTTGCAAAAGTTGTTTAACTTTTCGAAAGTACCCCTGACTGCGCCTTGAGCTCAGCCTAGGAAATCTGGTAGCCATCATCTGTAGGAAGTTAGGCCTCATTGAGTCTTGAGTAGCCCACTGCCTGGCCATGCTGTCATTTCAGGTAGCAGCTGCGTCCATTTGAAGGGAGAAACATCCTTATTTCCTTAAAGTAATGACAACTTAAATTACTGGGTTCTTTAAGCCTTAAAATTTGCCTTCCGGGTTTTCTGCAAAGGAATGAAAGTGTTTCTTTGACTTAAGAAGAATAGTTTCAGTGGAAAGTGTTTAGGTGTCTAACATTGTATCCACAGACCTCATTCTCAGTAGATACTTTTTATACATTGAAGAGTTGCTTTTCTGCTCGTTTTTTCCAATACCTTAAAATTAGTTGTCGTGGCACCAGCTCATGGAGAGATTTAGTAAATACTAAGAAAATCAGTACACATAATCGTTGCTGCTGCTTTTTCAGTGTTGTCAGCAAATAGCAAATTGAGAAACAAACTGGAAAGACATGTTTGTTAAAGTTAACTGACTTGGAGAGGATCTGTCATTCCCACAGTTCAGCTTGGCTTTCTTCCACCCTATGTTCCAAGCTGGAGACTCTGGAGGTGGGTCAGGACTGTTTTGGGGCCTTTGATCTGAGATGCCTTTTCCAGACTCAGCCTTGGAGTGGGCATTATCCTAGAAAGCAGAGGCCAAGGTGGTCCAGTCCACAACAGCCTAACCCACAGGTATATAAGGGAAGTGTTTCTGAGAGAGAAAAAAGGGCCTTGGGCCATGGTTGACAGTGTTGGGCACTCACACTGGAGCTCTGGCCTCCCTTGGCTTCTCTAGTACTGGCCTACTTTCCTAATGCCACTTTCCACCACGTCTTCGCTTACCCCAGTGCAATTTAGCTCTTGGAGGTTTTTTTGGTTCCCAAATAAATCATCTCTTAGGATAACTCAAATTTTTGCCTAACCTGACTTGCCCTGAGTGGTAGTGCTAGTCCAACCCGCTGAATGTCTCAGTTGCACCTCATATATAAATTTGCACATAAGGGCTAGGCACAGGGGCTCACACCTGTAATCCCAGCACTTTGGGAGGCCAAGGCAGGCATATCATCTGAGGTCAGGAGTAAGACCAGGTTGGCCAACATGGTGAAACCCTGTCTCAACGATAAATACAAAAAAATTAGCTGGGTGTGGTGGCAGGTGCCTGTAATCCCAACTACATGGGAGGCTGAGACAGGAGAATTGCTTGAACCTGGGAGGCGGAGGTTGCAGTGAGCTGAGATCACACCACTGCACTCTAGCCTGGGCGACAGAGCAAGACTCCATCTCAAAAAAAAAAAAAAAGGAAAAAAGGAAAAAAAAATTGCACAAAAGTATAATTCTCAGTCTCTCTCTCGGCACTATCATTCTTCATTCTAGATTCTCAGTTATCTAAGTTCTCCCACACTCCCACACCTTACCTCTTCCTGCGGATTCAAGTTTCATCAATAGTCTCAAATTTATCACTTTTTCATCTTTGCAGTGTGAATTGTTTTTGTATGTGATTGCCAGGTTAATCTTGCTAAGGTTTACTTCAGTGCCTGCCATTCTTCTGCTCAGAAACTCAGAGGTGCCCTTCTGCTTATGCCATTAAATACAAATTTACCAGCCTAGATTTCACAGATTTGGCCCCAGTGAATTTGTGAATGAACGGTTACCTACAGTTCTGTTCTACTTGCTGAGAAGCACAGTTGTAGGCATTTCTATTATCCTGTAGCCACCCTGGACTGCTTGGTGTTCCTGCTGTTCCTTATGTAAGGAAGGCCCTTGGAGTCTGGAAGGAGAGCAGATAGGAAGCAAATAGTGAAACGTAATTTTTAATTACCAATTCTGGTAAGTGTCTTAAGGAAAAAGCACAGTTATGAGAGCCAGGTTTAGATAGGGAGAGGGAGTCAGGAAGCCTCTTCAAAGAGGTTGCTCTTTGCTGGGTATGGTGGCTCATGCCTATAATTCTAGCACTTTGAGGAGCCAAGGTGGGAGTTTAAGACAATCCTGGGCAACATAACAATACTCTGTTTGTATAAAAAATAAGAAATAAAAAAGCTAGCTGGATATGGTGGCATATGCCTTTCCTTCCAGTGTGGAAGGCTGAGGTGGGAGGATTACCTGAGCCCAGGAGTTCAAGTTGACAGTGAACTATGATTACACCACTGCTCTCCAGCCTGGGCAACACATCGAAACCTAGTATCTAAAAAAAATGAAAGGTTACTTTTTAGGTTGTTAATAGGCCTCATTGCCTTTTCCATCTGCTCTGTACTCTGCCGAAGTATATTGTTTTGGTTTTTGCTCTTTGACTGCCTCTATTCTTTTTTACTTCTAATTTATTTTATTTAATTATTTAAAGACGGAGTCTCGCACTGTTGCCTGCGCTGGAGTGCAGTGGCGTGATCTCAGCTCACTGCAACCTCCACCTCCTGGGTTCACATGATTCTCCTGCCTCAGCCACCCACCCGAGTAGCTGGGATTACAGGAGCACACCACCACACTTGGCTAGTGTGTGTGTGTGTGTGTGTGTGTATTTTTAGTTGAGGCAGGATTTCACTATGTTGGCCAGACTGGTCTTGAACTCCTGACTTCGTTATCTGTCCGCCTCAGCCTCCCAAAGTACTGGGAGCCACCTGGCCTCTTCTCTTTTACTTCTACTTAGTTGTTTCTTAGTTGATCAAAGGCTCAATCTTTTATGCTCTGTTAGGTTTTTTCTGGGTTAGGAATCACTAGCCTGAATGCAGAGGCTGAGAAGAAAGCACTGGCAGATGCTGGCTAGATGGCAGTGTGGGGGACTGGTGAGCTGGAGGGAGTGCTCTAGAGAGGAGGCAGCTTCTCAGCCCCAGGCTTTGTTGCCCTTGTAGAATATAGACCCAGGGTTTCCATAACTACTGATTTTTCTGGAAAAACTGCATTTTTTAGGTGAAATCTCTTGATATTTAAATGTTAGCAGTTTTTTTCTTTTTCTTTTTTTCCTTCTTCTTTTTCATCTCTCCCATTCCATGCAGATAATGTTAGTAGCTTTAAAACACTGCTGGGCCAGGCATGGTGACTCAAGCCTGTAATCCCAGTACTTTGGGCGGCTGAGGCTGGAGGATCACAGCCCATGAATTTGAGACCAGCCTGGGCAACATAGACTGTCTCTCTATGAAAAAATTTAAAATTAGCCAGGTGCGGTGGTGTGTGCCTATAGTCCTAGCTGTTTGGAAGGCTTGAGCCCAGGAGATTGAGGCTGCAGTGAGCCTGTGATCACACCACTGCACTCCAGCCTGGGTGACAGGGTGAGACCCTTTCTCTAAAAATAAATAAATAGAATACAAAAATAAAACGCTGCTGACCAAACCACAGTTGCAGTTGGCAGGTGGCATCCTTCTGGCAATTAGTTTTCAACTGCAGGTTTCTCATTTATTCCTTATAGAGGCTGAGAGATTCCCGTCTCAATGATTTTACATGCATGTGGCATAAGACATACCTTTAGTCCTAACTATTCTTTCAAGCCGTAGTCTCTTTTCTCTGTTGAATATTTCTGCTTATGTCAGACAAACTGAAATTCAAAATCAAATTTATATTACATCCTGCAAACCAGCTAGCTTCTTTCCCTGTCTTTTTTATATTCTCCTAGTTGTCCTGGCTTGAAATCTTAAAGTTGTTTCTGCCATTCTTTTCCATTGAGTTTTTACTTCATAATCTTAATAATATCACTCCCCTCTGTTTCCACAGCTGCTGTTCTTCATCACCCCATGCCTAAATTATTGGCCTCCTGGACTTGATTTTCTGCTCTATTCACACCTTGCCTACTTCTGGGATAATTTCACTAAGCACTACTTTCATGATGTCTTCCTGCTTCAACAGTTTCATGTAGTTTGTTTAATTTCGTGAGGCCATGTTTGTTTTATTGGACACTTGGAAGAAGTTCCTGAGTCATAAAATTCTCATCTAAGACAGTTGTTTATTTAAACTTCATGCATCATAACCACCTGGAGGATTTGTTAAACGCAGATTTCTGGGCTCCACCATTTCTTGTTCAGTAGATGTGGGGTGGGGCAGAGTTTCTAACAAGTTTTTAGGGGATGTTGATGGTCCTTGTCCAAGTCATACTTTGAGAATGACTGTTCTAAAAAACCAAGTTGACATCAGCTGAAGGAAATAAGCCTGATAAAAGTTAATTAAGAAATTAGAAGTAGCGGAGATGTGCATGCCCTCTTCCTTTCCACCAGATGGCAGTTTTGGAGCCAGTAGAAAGGAAAGATCATAAATTCAGAAGTACTTGGGGCGCTGAATTCTCAAATACATTTTGAGGTATAAAAGCTAATATCAAATTTTAAATGACAGATGAGTGTGAATTTGAATGAAAGCAGTATGATTATGTAGAATTTGGCAAGGAATTTGGTTGTATGTATGTACTTTTTGTAGTAATTGGTCCACAGATTTTTGTGACCTATAAATACTGTGCACGGTGGCTTTGTACTTGCGTTTGGTGGGTTTACATTAACTTTCTCTGAGTTAAATAAAATTATATTTTATGTATAAAACTGGGACTTGGAGCTAGGCCTGAGTTCTCTTTACTTGCAGTCAGTACTTAAACTGTTAGATAAGACTTGCCAGTCTGGCTACACCCTCTTTAACTTTGAAATGACATTTGGGTACTGGCCTCATTAAGGAATCCAAAGTCATTCTGGATCTAAAGAAATTAGCTCTTAAATTTTTCAATACTTAAAACTTCCAAAAAGATAAAATTGAGTCAAGTTGAAAACATTTTAGAAATGGTGTTTTAGGGTAGTGTAGTTCAGACTTTAAAAGTAATTCTGAAAACCTTGTTTAGAAAGTATCCCTAAATTAGATACAATCTGTCACTTCAGTTTCATAATTATAAAGTGTTAGTGTTGATTTTTAATGACAGCTTCCATTCTTTGAAATCATTTGGGGAGCTTCAAACAATATCTGTGCTTGTGCCCCACCTCCTCCAGAGTTTGAATTAATTGGTCTTGGTGTGACCTGGGCTTTGGAATTTTTAAGAGTTTCCAGGTGATACTTTTTTTTTTTTTTTTTTTTTTTTTGAAGATGGAGTCTTGGCTGTTGTCTTGGAGACTGGAGTGCAGTGGAGCAATCTCAGCTCACTGCAACCTCGGCCTCCCAGGTTCAAGCTATTCTCCTGTCTTAGCATCCTCAGTAGCTAGGATTACAGGCACCCACCACCACTCTCAGCTAATTTTTGTACTTTTAGTGGAGACTGGGTTTTGCCATGTTGGCCAGGCTGGTCTCAAACTCCTGACTTCAGGTGGTCTGCCTGCCTCAGCCACCCAAAGTGCTGGGATTACAGGAATGAGCCACAGTGCCCAGCTGAGTCTCCAGGTGATTCTAATGTACAGGCCAGTCTTGAAATCACTGGGCTAGGATGAGAATATTTTACTTGTGCTGAGACAAATGAAAACAATGCTAGTTCAGGAATGTGAACTATGACTGATTTAAACAAATAGTTCATTTCTTTTTTTTTAATGCTGTTATTCAATTGGAATATAGTATAAAAGGAAAGTACTATAAATTCTGAAAAGTTGGATTACAAATATTTTTATAAATCCAGTCATCCAAGTTGTAATTACAAGGGGTAACTGGTCATATTGCCTTTTGTGAAACCTCAGCCAGGCTGTTCCTCTTCATATTATCTCAGTATCCTTGAAAAATTAACAGATTGTCAATTTATCAGTTCCAGTAGATAGTATATATATCTGCACGTGTGCACAGCCCTTATCAAGCTGCTGCAGCTACTGAGTCTAGCTTTGACCTCTTTCCATAGATCTTAAATTTAGCTTCTTAAAAAGCACACAGTATATTCTAACTGTAGTATTTTTATATGCATATCTGTCACTGCATTGTGTTTTTTTCAAGGGCAAGAGCTGTGTCTTTTGGGAAATTTTTTAAAAGGCCCAAAGCATAATGATACAACTTGATGAATTTTCACAAACCAAACATGCCTAAATAACCAGCACCTGATGAAGAAACAAGCTATACCAGCATTTCAGAGGCCCTCCTCATGCCTCTCTCAATCACTGCCCTTCCCCGTGTTGCCTTTTACTTTCTTACTATAATTTACATAAAGCAATTGAGTACACTATTATGAAGTTTATAGCTTAGTGAACTGTGTGTGTGTGTGTGTGTGTATGTGTGTGTGTGTGTGTGTATGTGTGTATGTGTGTGTGTATCTGCAGTCCCGTAATCAGCATCGGGATAGAGACAATTGCCAACATTCCATGTTTGTTCATGCCTTTTCCCAGGTCCCCCCACCCTCACCATTCTCATGTCCATTATTAGTGGTCACTTTGGTCAAGCTGTGTTTCAGGCTTTGTTTTCCTAGCCCAACAAGTGCTTTTAAAACAGCAAATATAGAAGTGTGTTGTGTTTATTGTTTTTGTAGTCTGCTCTCCTGTTGTAATTTCTGTCATGACGACTTTTCCATGTTACACATTTAAATACCTGTTAGTATTTTTAGTGGCTGTGTAATAGCTATGTGTATTCATAGGTGATACAGTCTTTAAAATAATGCTGTTGTCTTAGACATTTACTTTGTTTTCAGTTTTTCCATCATGTAAATCATTGTGAACATATTTATCAATCAAACTTTGGTCATATTTCTTTGATTTCCCTAGTGCACATGCTTGTGGAATTACAGGATTGAAGGGTATGATCATTGTAAAGGCTGTGGATTTGTATTTCCAAACTATTTACTAGAAAGGCAGTACCAATTTATACCTCTCTACAGTGTCCGAGAATGCTGTTTGTGTTGCATCTTTAACAAAGCTTTTTTTCTTTAGATTAACAACTTTATTTTTCAGAGTAGTTTTAAGTTGATGGAAAAAATGACTTGCAAATTTGAGCAAAAAAGTTCGACAAATATATAAGGACATATATCAACTATTACAGTATCATACAGATTAGTTTCACTGCCCTAAACATCTCCTGTCTTCTACCTGTTCATCCCTCCCTTCCTTTCCCAAGCCCCTGGTGACCACTGATCTTTCTACTGATTTCATAATTTTGCCCTTTTCAGAATATCATACAGTTGAAATCAGAGTATGTAGCCTTTTCAGACTTTCTTCTTTTGCTTAGTAGTATGTATACATTTAAGTTTCTTCCAGTTTTTTTTGTGGCGTAGTGGCTCATTTCTTTTTTTCATGGCTGAATAATATTTTATGTGGTTTTACTGAAATTGGTTTGTCTTCCAAGCATTGAAGAACACCTTGGTTACTTCCACATTTTGGCAGTTATGAATAAACCTATCATAAAATTCATGTGCAAAGTGGTTTTACCATTTTATGATCCTACCAGCAGTGAATGAGAGCTAAGCCTTTTAAAACTTTTTCTTATAACAATACCTTTTAGAAGAGGCTGAAACAAAAGGTGATATGCTATTTGTAAACTGAGACATGACTACCCATGTTACTGTTCTCATTGTATTCCACATTTGTTTCAGGTTTAATGCATTCAAAAGGATTAATATCATACAGCGCCATTTGGTAAGTTTTAACTTTGTTTTGCTGGCATTATTTGTATGTGTAACTTAAAATGTAATTGTTAGAGAAGTAGAGAAATACTGGTATGGCAGATTTCCTTGACCTTGGTACATCATGGTTCTCAACTGGAGTGTCAAGACATGACACACATACCTTGTAGAAGGTGGCATAAGATTATGGTTAAAAGCATAGTTCTTGCAAGTCAGGATGCCTGAGTTTAAGTAATGGATTCACTACTTAATCTTGGGTGGATTCCTTGGTCTCTTACAGCTTCCCTTTTGATATATATAAAGTGAGGATGATAATGATAGTATCTACCTTAGAGTGCTTATAAATGATAAATAAGATAATTGTATTAATCAGGGTTCTCTAGAGCGACAGAACTAATAGGGCATATGTATATATGAAAGGGAGTTTATTAAGGAGAACTGACTCACATGATCACAAGGTAATCCCACGATAGGCCATCTGCAAATTGAGGAGCAAGGAAGCCAGTTCAAGTCCCAAAACCTGAAAAGTAGAGAAGCAACAATGCAGCCTTCAGTCTGTGGCTAAAGGCCCAAGAGCCTCTGGCAAACCACTGGTATAAGTACAAGAGTCCAAAAGCTGAAGAACTTGGAGGCTGATGTTTGAGGGCAGGAAACATCCAGGACTGGAGAAAGATGAAGGCCAGAAGACTCAGCAAGTCAAGTCCTTCCAACTTCTGTCTGCTTTTATCCTAGCCTTGCTGGCAGCTGATCAGATGGTGCCCACCCAGACTGATGATGGGTCTGCCTCTCCCAGTCCACTGACTCAAATGTTAATCTCCTTTGGCAATACCTGCAGACACACCCAGGAAAAATACTTTGCAACCTTCAATCTAATTGAGTTGACACTCAGTATTAACCATCACATTAATGCATTAAAAAATTTAACATAGTGCATAGCATATAACAGTCATTTTATACATGTTAGCTGTTATTGTAATGGTATACTGGGAAAGTTAGATATACATAGTTTATCAGATTATATGGAAGAAATAAATTTTAATCACTTTTGTGTCTCTTATAGAGGCTCAAAGTAAATTGCACGTAAAAATAATAAGTCATCTGATATCACTTACTGTATTCTAGGTGGTATTCTAAGTACTTGTCATGTATTAGCTCAGTTAATTCTCATAGTCCTATGGAGTACATACTACAGATCGCTTATGTTCAATTCTAACACCCCAAAACCAAAAGTTTTTTGTTAGTTTGTGGTAAATACATTGGCAAAATCTGACCTGGATGTACTTGAAGCTCTTTTAGTGTTTATCCTAACTAACATGAACGCTTATGGTTTGGTGCATAACTATAAAAACACTTTATTACTTTTATTAAGCCTAAGTGGATATGGGGATATGAAGCCTGCCATATCCCTTCCTACCTGTGATAGTACATTTTCTGTTGCTTAAAATAGAATACCTAAAACCGAGGAATTTGTAAACAAAAGGAATTCATTTCTTATAGTTAACAGAGGTTGAGAAGTCCAAGGCCGGGCCGGGCGCGGTGGCTCACGCCTGTAATCCCAGCACTTTGGGAGGCCGAGGCGGGTGGATCACGAGGTCAAGAGATCGAGACCATCCTGGTCAACATGATGAAACCCCGTCTCTACTTAAAAAATACAAAAAATTAGCTGGGCATGGTGGCGCGTGCTTGTAATCCCAGCTACTCAGGAGGCTGAGGCAGGAGAATTGCCTGAACCCAGGAGGCGGAGGTTGTGGTGAGCCGAGATCGCGCCATTGCACTCCAGCCTGGGTAACAAGAGCGAAACTCTGTCTCAAAAAAAAAAAAAAAAAAAAAAGAAAAGAAAAGAAAAGGGAAGTCCAAGGCCAAGGTGCTGCATCTGGTGTGGGCCATTTTGCGGGTGGGAGCTCTCTGTAGAATCCCAAGGCGGTATAGGACATCATATGGCAAGGGGCTAAGCATGCTAGCTCAGGTTTCTCTCTCTCTTGTAAACCCACAGTCTTATCCCATAACAACTCGTTGATTCATTAACTCATTAACCTATTAACCCATTAATTTAGGAATGGGTCAGTTCTTTCATGTGAGCAGAACTGTCATGCGCAATCACCTCTTAAAGGACTCACCTCTAAGGCCTTTTGACCTTGGACATCAGCCTCCATAACTACAAGGAAAGGAGTAAATTCCTTTCCTTTATAAATTACACAGTTTCAGGTAGTCTGTTGTGAGCAACAGAAAATAAACTAAGACAATTTGTATATTACTGTTAACTCTAGACTTTATTTGGATTTCACCAGTTTTTTTTCGTTAATATTCTATTCCAGGAATCAAGGACACTGCATTTACTTGCCACGCTTTTTAGTCTCCTCTTGTCTGTGATAGTTTCTCAACTTATCTTTCATATTTTTCATGACCTTGACAGTTTTAAGGAGTACTGGTCAGGTAGCCTATAGAATACCATCTCATCTGGGCTTATCTGTTGTTTTTTAGATCATTAGACTAGAGTTAAGGTTTTTGGCAAGAATATTGTAACTGGGTTTTTTTTTTGGATGTTGTGGGTTTTTGGCCTCCAACTTCTTAAAGAATGAGTGGTGGGGCTGCTTCAGCTGCACTGTATGCTCACAAGGTAAAACTTTGGACCCAAAACAGTGTTGCAGAAAGGTGATTTTATTTAGGTAGAGAAAAGAGAAGGAAAGGAGAAGAGAAAGGCTTCCAGGAAGAGTGTGGAAGGGGATTCCAGAGGGAAAATCCCAGAGGGAGCTCCCACCATGTGGGAAGGGGTTCCAGAAAGTCGGAAATCTGGCACAGGTGAGGGAGCATGGACTTTTATCCTGGGAGAAACCTCCACCTTCTCCAAGACCGTGGGCCAGCGAAAGGAGTTCCTTAGAACTTCTGCTGGAGTGATTGACTTTTAGTTTCTTCCCACGCCCACGAAATTCAAACATAAACCGTTGAATCTCCTGGATGGAGAGAGATGGGAGGGGGACATAGTGCTGGGAAATTCTTGCCCTTAAAGCTACACCCACTCATGGACCTGGAAAGAGAACACATTCCCTTATTCCCCCTTCTGAACAGGAAAATTTAACTTCTGTTGGAATAGGGGTGTCGATCTTTTTTAACTACTTCCTGCTGAAATGGGGCATAGAAGGGGCCCTGCAATTAAGGTTTCTTCCAGAGAGGAGCCTTTTAGGGGTACAGGTTGATTTACAGGTTCATGATAGAGCTTACAAGCCAAGGACATCCGGGGTTCCAGCAGCAGGATTAACTGTGACCTTATGGTTCTATAAGAAATAAATATGACCGGGTGGTTAAAGATGAGAGACCCAGAGTTACAAACAAGCCTAGGAGAGAACAGAGCCAGGTTCTTGAAGGTCTCTAGCCCGGTTTTTGATTGATTCCTGAGTTCTATATTTAAAGTAGCACTTAACTGGTTTACAAAATAGCATTTTTCCTAGAAACAGGTTTCCCTCCTCTCTGTGGTTAGCAGATTTAGGACTCTTTTATTTTTAAAGCTATGGCAGCTAAAGAATTAAGCTGGCTTGCAGAGACAGCTGCCCTTTGCAGAGAGAATTAGCAAGAGAATTTGTTATTAATTAGCAAGAGAATTTGTTATTAATTAACTTTTGAGATAGCTTATAGTAACTGAATAGAGGTAGTAACTTTCCTAATACCAGCACCAAGTTTTCAGGGCAGGAGGGAAATACTGAGAAGGCTGTGCCAGTGCCCAGGAGACAATTGGCTTCCTGGACCTTTATGGCTGGCTTTACCTGGGGCTTTGTGAGGGTGCTGGCTTATGCTGGCACTTGTGTCAGGCATTCTCAGTCCTGCCATTGGGTCATCTGGTCAGACACCTGAGGCCCAGGGGACCTTGGTTCCCAGGGAGAGTGTGCTCTGCAGTGATTCCCTTGGCACAGTGGGCATGGATGAGGTGGTGGTCCGTTCCTCTGGGGACAGTTTCTTACGTGTCCCTTTAGACTGCACTGGTAACAAGTTCTGCCAGAGTGGCAGCTAACCCAAGCCTCTCCTTCATTTGAGCCCCTGGGGTCTGCTTGCCTGAAGGCCATAACTAAGACCACAGCCTTTCTTGGATCTTTCCTGTTCCTTTCAGCCGGTTCCTCTTGGTCTCTATTATAAAACACTGAGGTTGCCTGGTTTAGCAGTGATTTTAGACTCTGTTCTGGTCCCAAAGTCAGCTTCTGAAGCTTCCTTCTGATGTCTGCTGCTGACTAATAAACTTGTCCTTTAGTTTTAACTGACCTTCAATAGAGTTTGGTGACAGGGGAGTGTACTTTCTTAAAGCCTCTTGCAATTGCTTAGGGAAACCTGTTGGGTTTTCTTCCCTTCCTTGAGTTATGGTGGATAACGTTGCGTAGTTCATTGGCTTCTTTCTAGTTTACCTTAATCCCTCAAGCATACAGGTCAGGAAATGCTTATGGCTCTAGTCTGCCTGTTCTGAATCTGGATTCCAGTGAGGGTCTGTGGCAGGGACTGCCTGAGTACCTGTGGGATATCTGTCCTTATTCTCTGGCATTATCAGATTATGTACCTAAGGTACTAAGTGTCCCCAAACTCTTGAGTTGTTGCTGGAGCAGCCTCCTTTTCATTGCTGGTTAGGGTTTGATTAAGCAAAAGCATGACATTCTTCCAGTCTAATTTGAAGGACTGACCCAGGCCCTGAAAAACATCTATATACTTGTTGGGGTCATTTGAAAACTTTCCTAAGTTCACCTTAAGTCAGAAAGTGAGAAGGGGGTGTGTACCTTTATTGGGCCAAATTCTCCTCCCACTGCCTGTAGGGGGCAGAGTTTGGGCATCTGGGTAGCCTGAGATGTCCTGGCTGTCTTGGCCCTCCCTGGCTCCTGTTGGGGTACAGGAGCTGAGGAGCCCTGGTTGGCATTGGTGGAGGTAGTTGCCACAGGGAGCCTCACAGGTGGAGGTAGTCCTGAAGTGGGCTGAATAGGGTAAGGGGCACAGGCCAGACAGAGCTGAGGCATATTCCTTAGGGAAAAGAATAGTTGCACA